AGTGTTTCTGCATGTGGGGACCATTGAAGGACAATCAGAAAAGCTGCTTTCCTGTGGGACATACGTTGTGTGGGAAGAAACAGAGTGAATGAAAAAGCACCGTAAACAAGGAAGGCGTCTGTGTGACAAGGGGTAACGGTTCTGGGAAAAAATGCCATGGGGAAGGCAATCCCAAGTGTGGCTGTGGGGGACACAGACCATGGGTGTTTTGTTGTTTGTTTTTAATATATACACTGAGTGGCCAGATTATTATGACCACCCCTAATTTGCCTACAAAATTTGTGCACTGGGGGATGAAGGGTGTCCCTCAGCCCAGCCTGCACCCTCTCTAATCTGAGACCCCTCGGGGGATGTCTGACTGCCGGTTTAGGCCTGATCCTAAACCGGCAGTTGGACATCCCTCTCACAATCCAGGACTGCTGGCTCCCAACCACTCACCTGCCTGCCAGCCTGATCACCCCCTAAGCACTCCCCTGTCTGCCTGGTAGATGCCTAACTGCTCTGCTGCCGGCCCGATTGCCCCCAACTGCCCTCTCCTGCTGGCCTGGTCACACCCAACTGTCCTCCCTGCCTACAAACGTAAGGTGATCATAATAATTTGGCCACTCAGTGTGTGTGTGTTTGTGTGTGTGTGTGTGTGTGTGTCTGTGTGTGTGTATTATTGATTTCAGAGAGAAAGGGAGAGGGAGAGAGAGAGAGAAATATCAATGATGGGAGAGAATCATTGACCGGCTCTCTCCTGCAGGTCCCCTGCTGGGGATTGAGCCCACAACCCTGGCATGTGCCCTTGACCAGAATCCAACCCAGGACTCTTCAGTCTGCAGGCCATTGCTCTATCCACAGAGCTAAACCAGCTAGGCCATGTCTGTTTGATTTGGGTGGCCAGTCAGTGGGGGCCTCCCTGGGAAGGTGGCTTGAGGAAAGCATTGAAGGACATGTGGCATTATCCCTGAGGATGTAGGAAGGAAGTCCTTTCCAGCAATGGCACCTCCAGTGGGAATGGCCTGGGACAGGAGTGTGTCTGGTTTAAGAGGGAGGAGGCCAGTGTGGGAATGGAGCAGAGAGTAATGGAGATGAGATAAAGACAAGGCCAGACCTCCTGGGCCTGGAGGATGGAAGAGGCCGGGGACTGTGCTCTGAGTGAGGAGGGAGCCACAGGAGAGTTCAGAGCAGGAGAGGCCTGGCATGATACCCTCTTTAAAGGATCACTGTGTCTGCTGAGCTGAGAACACTTGGGAGGTGAGGGGGCACTGGGAAGGCAGGAGGAGTCTGTGAGGAGCTTCAGGCTGGAGAGGCTTCCAGGGGTGAACAGTCGAAATAGTGGGCATGCTGGGATTCTGGTTCTTTCTGAAGATGGACTTTAGAGCGAGCCTAAGGGTTAATCTGGGGCATTCGAGAGAGGAATCAAGGTCACCAAAAATCTCAGAGGATATAAGTAGAGAGACAGAGTTCCCATTAGCAGAGATGGGGAGACTCTGGAGCAGGCTATTTGAGGGGCATCACAGGCCTTCATTTTAAGAGATGCTGGAGCTGAGTGTCAGCAACACAAGGGAGTCGTCGTATTGGCAGTTGGACAGATGAGTCTGGAGATCAAGAGAGATGTTGGTTGGAGAAACAGAGTTGGGAGGCGACACAGGTAAATGACCTTAAAGCCTGGAGAACGGACAAGGTCACCAAAGGACTGATGGCTACAGGAGACCAAGGGAGCAGAACTGAACCCAGGACCCAGTGCTGAGCCGTCTGCACTGTTCTGTCTCTGGGTCTAGAAGGCACAGGGATCACGGAGCCCCCAACGTTCCTGGGCTCAGGAACAACCTGGACCTCTTGTTGGCTCAGGACGTCTGGAGCAGAGTGTGAGAGGCTGGCTCTATCCCAAGGTGCTGATGCTGCTGGTCTTCACATCCCACATTGAGCAGCGAGAACACAGACCAAGATCCCCGTGTCTGTGTGTCAGCCTCGCCTGCAGGGTGTTACACAGGTGGTTCCTGTCTGTGCCTAATTCTCTGGGTCTGTGGGTCTGGGAGAGGCTGGGGGTTTTGTAAGAAGCTCACAAGCAATCCTGGGGCTCAGCCAGCCTGGGAACCACTGAGGCCAGTGCCAGAGCTCAGGGTGGGGAGGGCTTTTACATCCACATTTAAAGGTTTTCATTTTTCCTCAGAAAGAGAAGGGAGGACATTCATCACCAGTTATGAGACATGATGTTGGGAGTTACATGTCATTCTCTCTGCCATGGGGTAGAGTCAGGTGGAAGAGTTAGGACATGGGCCCTGGTTCCCAATAATAACATCTCTGAAGGCTTGCTCTCTGAAACTGTTCCCCAGATATATTTCTTGAGCAAACAATGGAATCACAAGGGACCACCGAAGGACAGGACGGCCTGCTGCTCGGGGCTGGGCTCAGACTTGGCAGGGGCACTGGCCCAGTTAATGGGACCCTGGAAACTCCAGGACTTTGGGACCAGGGCTCATCCCTACAGGGGCAGCCCAGCCCTTTGCTGTCTGTGACCTGGAGGACCCCTTCCAAACACCAGCAGGGGGACCATGGCACACCCTCCCCTGCTGCTCTCCTCCCTGAAACCTCTACCCCTCTGTGTGCTGACTTCCCCTCATCAGACCTCCTCAGGGGCATCCTTGCCTTCCCAGATCTGACACCCCAGCCCCACCCCCATCCCAAGCTCTGAGACAAGCGGCATTAGTTCCCAGGAGGAAGGTGCTCTAGCTCCAGAGGCAACAGCGGGAACAGGGGACAGGTTCTTGTGTGTCCAAGGTCCCATCAGGGAGACTAAGGACTCCTGGTTTGATTGTGGGGTGCAGCTGGACCTGGGAGCCAGCGGTTATGGCTCAGGAGACCTCGCTCTTTCCTGAGGCAGCGTCCACGGTGACTCAGTGGGGAGGAAGCATCAACATCAGTGTGCATTTGGAGAAACACTTTGCACCCTGAATTTGACATAGGACAGGGCCCCCCTTCTGTGTTCAAAGCCCTGTTCTGGTGCTGGGAGCAGAGGGAGACCCTGGGAGGTCCTGGCTCAGCAG